TATAGAAGTCTGGAACCAGGAAATACTGCCCCATGGGAAGAGAATTCTGAGAAGATGCTCTCCTCAGTGGCAGTGAGAGATGGAGACAGCGTCTCCATGTGTGTATGTGTGTATGTGTATGTATGTGTGGTATATGTGTGTGTTATATGTGCATATATCTGTGTCTGTATGTTTGTAGATACATGTGTGCATATATGCTTATATGGGTACATGTATGTATAAATATGTATATTTGTGTGTATGTATACATGTATGTATTTATGTATGCATATGTGTGTTTATGTGTAGGTATGTGTGTATATGTATGTGTATACATGTATATGTGTGTGTTTGTGTTTGTGTGTATGTGTCTGTTTCAGTTATAAGTCACTGATTCTATTTCGTTCTTTAAACCACTTAAGCTGGTTTCTAGTCGCTTGTAGTCAATAACTGACAACCCAAATATAAGTGATATTTGACATCACCAATATTTTATGGTGTTTGTGTTCTTTTGTTTCTGAGGTCTCGGGTGCTTTAACTCTGAACCAAGCACTCCACAGATGGCTAATCAGAAGACTGACTGCAATTTACAAGTCTGATTTTTCAGATCTTAATATTGCAGAAATCAATCAATCAATCAATCAGTCATCAATCAACCTTCAGCCTTGTCTAGCAAGTCCTCCCTTTAGTCTGTCAGCATTTAGGAGCTGAACTGACACACACAGGGTTCCATTTAAGCTCCAAGCAGCCTATTAAAATTTGCGAAGTTAATTTCAGCTCCAAGTTTTGATGGACCCGTTTACCTCTTCTATTCGTCATTTCCCCAGATTTTCTTGTTTAAATTAACTGGACTTTTACCACCCCTTGCAGCAGAATTGCAAAAATAGAGAGCCCCAGATATCACACTCAGTTTGGCAGGCATTTGAAATTCAACAGCCCGCAAGCCGATTCAGTTTCTGGGCTGTATTTATAGCCGCAGATTTATCCCCCTTGGTGCGTCTTATCTGACACAGTTTAAGGTCCAAAGCCACTATGTTTTCCACAGCATTGTCCAGGGCAGGCGTGCTTGGCTCATACCCCCAGCACGTCCACAACCTGCCTTCCTGAGTTATAGACATGCAGTCCTGGTTACCTCTGCATGTAGAGACTCTGAGGTGCTAGGGCCTAGGCATAGGGAACTGTGACTGTGTGGGGATTTACTTACTTCTCCAGTGGCCCAAGTCCAGGCATTCAGCAGGTGTTATTCTTTTCAACATTCACAAACAAGTATCTTTCCCAAGCGAATTAACTTCTGTAAGATGGACAATAACTGCACGTGGTTTTATGAGGGTATTTATCCAAATATAGAATATGATTACTTTTTGCGATTAAATGCATTCTAATTTCCCTGTGAGCCATAACAGCAGTATGGTGTATCATGGCTGAACAGCTGGCTTATTCTTGGCTCAGGATTCTGACTGTTCTTGGGTGATCATACAACTCTTTGGATGTTGTTTCTCTGTCTTAATTTTCCCACCCTTCTGTGTAATCCATTAATAATGACATCAGTACTTCTTTAATTTCCAGAGCACCTGCATTCGTCACTAGTTGGGATAGAAAGAATCTCAACTCACCATTCCCTATGATACTATGATACGATGTACATCTTCCTATCTCATCGTTTACAAAGGGAGTACTGAGGGGTCACAAAAATTAATGTGTACTGTTCCTTTAAATAGAACTATAAACAGGATTCAAAGAGACGAATGCACTAGCAACCATCCTTGCTTGAGTGTGCGGTGACAATGCTGATTAGCCTACCAGCCTCGATCCAAGATCAGAAACTCTGAAGAGTTTGTTAAGATGGACAGTTTTCCTCAACCTAACCTTTTAAGTATAGTTGATGATACAGGTCTTTTAAGGACTGTTAGAACACAGCACTAGTATTTTCTGAGCCAGAAAACTGTTAAATTATTTTTTATGACTCTGTGGCTTCTCTGCTGATTATTGCTGGTTTAAGGCATCTTTTGTTGTCGTGCTGACAGAAACATCAATACAGGCACTGTGTGGTCATTGGTATTTTGCTGAGTGACATTACTTTCCTTGATGGGCTTGTATCGAAATGAATATTAGTCAAATTCTATTGCAAATACTCCAGGGAACTCACCCTAATATGCACACTGGCATAGACTGGTTTGAACATTTCTTTAAGTATCTGGACTGAGAGGGAGCCCAAATCCCTTCTCAGCAAGGCTGTAACTGTAATGCCCGTTACTCACGTTTGTTTGCGAGTGTTTGGTGCTCCATGAGCTACTTGCTTCTGGCTGTACTCTTCTGGGATCCTTGGGGCCTGGGAACTGCATACTGGCTTTGGCAGGGTTGGACCACAGCTTGATTTAAGACATTGATGTCAGTTTCAGCCATTGGTGTCCACATTGGCCCCATGCAAGGCCCTGGGGAGATAAGCTGTAGTTGGGTGTAGGGTACCAGGGTCAGAGGCAACAGGCACCCAGGGTAGCACACTTATGCTTGCCAGAGTGTCAGGGCAATATCCAGACCCTACCATAACTCCCCCAACAGAGGTGGAGTTCGTTTCCTCTACTCTCAAACTGGGCGAGATCCTGACATGCAGTTTGGGTTATAAAAGAAGACACAACTCGGCCTGGCCCCCTCTCTCTCACACATGCTGCTCACTCTTTACACCACCACCATGGTGTCAGGCAAATACAGCCACACTCTGGCCTGGGTGTGGGATCAGTGAAGACAGGAGCCAGCACAGGAGGAGGGCGGCTGGAGGGGGTGTCTGTGACAATTAGTCTTGTTGACGTGACTGCATCCGGAACCACCTAGAAGACACATTTCTGGTGAGGTGAGTTTCCAGAGATGTTTAACAGGAGGGAGACCCACCCTAAATGTGGGAATCCCCATTGGATGGGCTAGGGGTCCTAAACTGAATAAAGGGAGAAAGCTGAACGCCAGCATTCACTCTCTGTTGCTTCCTGACTATAGGTTCGATGTGACTGGCTGGCTGTTAGGCTCCTGAAGACACTTTCTCCACCATGAGGGCTTGAACCCTCAAACTGTGAGCCAAGATAAAGCCTTCCTCCTGTAAGAGACTTTTGTCAAGAATTAGTCAGGTCTGTGGGGGGAAGTAATGTAATGTCTAAAAAGGTAGGGGTAATTAAAAAACAAAACAGGTGAAAAAACTCTGAACTAGAAAGTACTGGAAGAGTCAGAGGTAGCCTGTTCAAAGAAAGAGTCACACTCTGATTGGCCAGAAACCCTAGAAATGGACTTGACTTCTATAAATTTGATTCCCATCCTAAGAAAAATATGGAATAACAGTGGTCACAACATGGAACCGAGGCACAGAGGCACATATGTCCCTTCCAAGTGTTGTGTGTGAGTCCAGAAACTGGGGCCTGGGGAAGCCCCCAGAAACTGGTGACAAAGGCAAGTGGGAATTTCCCAGAGAAGGAGGAGATTTCCCTCAGAAGAAGGGAAGCTGCATGGCTCAAGAGGAGTGTAAGAGATGCAGAAAGGAATTGTGGGTACATTAGACCTGGGCAAGGTGAGGCTTGTGAGCATGTGGAGGCTTGGCTGTCAAGGGAGGAAGTGAGTCTGACCTGCTCATCATGAACAGCCAAAGACTACAGGAAAGCATGGGAGGGCAGGCCTGGGCATTGTGAAGACCAGTGGCAGAGGATGTCCTGGGAGAGAGTGCAGCTTGGAAGAGGGAGAGAGGCCTCTGATAGGCCTTTTCCTTTACCCGCCTCATAGGTTACAGCTCCAGCAGTCTCTCTGGCCCAGTCAGACATTCACCCGGCAGAGGTGGCCGGGAGTCTCCTGGGCAGGCTCTTTTTGCTGGCCCACTGCCGTGCACCTTACACCTGCCATCTATCTCCACGCCACTCCCACCACCAGCTCCCCTACACTGAGGAGTAGAGACGAAGATCCCATTTAACAGAAGGGAACACTGACTCAGCTGGCAGAGCTAGGCTCCCATGATTCCAAAGTCCATTCTTTAATGCCAGGGCTTGTTTAAGATGTTCAAGCCCTATGGACAACTGGGAGTTGTGGTATACAGGTGCAATCCCAGCACTCGGGGACTCAAGGCTAGCCTTGGCTACATAGTAAGTTCCAGGTCACTCTGGCCTACGTGAGACCCTAGACAGAGCAAACAAAGAAACAAACAACAACTCATAAAAGCAGAAAACAAACCAGCAAAAGCCTTTAGGGCTGGAGGGAGGCCTGGTGATGCAAGGTTCTAGATTGAAATCAGCTTGTGTCAACTTGCTTCAGATAAAGTCCCATAAATTCTTGTCTTCTCCCTAAAGAGGACATTCTATAGGGAACACCGAGAAAAGAAGTCACCCCACCTTCATCACTCTGGCCTGGCCTAGCTTTGATTTGACAAGTCTACTTTAAGGGAACCCCACCCACTCTGTCCCCTCAGACTCTGAGCCCCATTGAATTGACCTGCAAACACCTTAAAAGGCACCATTGCTGGGAGGAGAAGCTCCCTCTGCAGGGCCTGGACTGTAGAAGGAGCTGGGAGCTTCCTGCAGGAGGCAGAAGTCGCGAGGAGGCATCAGGTCAGCACTCCCATGCACAGGAAGCTGCTATGCTTGGAAAGGCTGGGTAGAGGAGGAGAGAGGTGAGGGGGACTGGGGGGGGGGGAGGAGGTGCTGGGTGGGGGAGGGTCTTCACATTTACTCCAGATCATTCACTGTCAAAAAGAAGCCAGGAGAGGTAGTGACCTTCCCTCTCATCTTTGAAGAATCCACGTCTGCTCCTGCCTCCTATCAAAATCCACAAACACTTCTTGCTGCAGCAATGTGTGGCCATGAGCAGCAGACTTGTTTTGCTGGGTGAAGGAAACTCTCAAGCCAGCCTCCCTCCACCTTGCAGTGGGTTCAGGCAGACACCACCATAGGAAGCTTGGGACCTCCAGGCTCTGGCAGCAGGTGTCTGTAAGTTTGGGTCTTGCTGTGCTCTGTGAAGGAAGGGTTTGGGGGCATAGACTAAGCCAAACACAGATGTCATAAAACAAAATTTATCTTTAATTGGTAAGTGTCAACAGCAGTACAAAAGATGGAGTGATGACAGCTAGTTCAGGGTAGAGGACAGTCTTGAGGTAAATGAGCATAAATAGGCAGTTCCTATAGACACTCCCCCGCGGGCTGAGCCCCATCGTGGCATAGACATTATCACCCAAGGATGGCATGTCTAACACATATCAGGAAAGCACCTTGTGCAAAGAGGGGGAAAAGTAGCTCAGGTGCCAACATATTCCAGGATGGACAAAGACGGCACGCCTTTCTCTCTCATCTTTTCCCTTGACGGTGAGGCAGAGCAGGGAAGCCCTGGAGAAGTTCCACTGGAGGGTGTTCCATGCTGAGGTTGTCTCATGCCAATACTGTCCAGTAAGATCCAAGAGGTCTGTGTATGCGACAAAGCTAAGGGCAGTGAGCCGCTCCTTTCGATTCCAATTTCCCATCTCTTTAAGTCCTTAGCCAACTTCTTTTTTTCACTATCCAGAGGAGAGTGTGCGAAAGCTGTGATGGTAACCCTTCAGGTCATTTAAAAACTTTACACTGGACTGTACAAGATTTTTTTTTGATAAACTATTTACATTTTCAGACTTTCAAACATATTCAAAGCAGCAATAGACACTAGTTTTTTAATGCTTGTTTGTTTTTCTAATTGCCCAAAATAGTTACCAGCCATGGGCCAAGTAGGTACCTGTGGTATTCATAGAATTTCAATAAAGAAAATCTGCACTTAAAATTTGCTGGAGGGTGTGCTGAATATCCCTAGAGTCTAAAGGGTCACACCCACAGTGTTGCTATGGGAACCAATGCACAGTACCTTGACAACAGAGTTGGAGTTGTCCGGACAGCCCTACACAAGCTTTACACTTCAAAACAGCAGCCAGCATGTCAGTCCAGCATGTCAGTGAGTTGTGCTGATTAAATTAACATAGAATACAATCTCACAATATACATCACAAACAAATTACAATGTAGGCAAAGAAAAGAGTTACAGAAAGATAAGTTATGCAGTAACAGCTTAGAGACTTGTATAGGGTAATTCAAAATTGTACGTGGCAAATACAAGAATGAGCCAGAACAAGCCCTAAACATCCTGATGTCTACAAGCTGGAGGACACAATGAAGATCGCATTAGAGAGCTAGCTAGCAAGTGAGTGAGCGAGCGAGCGAGCAAGCAAGCAAGCACACATATGGCGAAGGAAGGAAGACAATGGAGGGTACTCACCAGCAGACCTGCAATGTGCAGCAATGACGGTAGTATTTGCACATTCCTCAGACTCCAAGGGTGCCCACACTGAAGCCCTGCTCTATGCCTGCACTTCCGTGGAACTAAGACACCAGCAAGAAACATCACCTACCGCCTGCCTCCAACTCCTTTGTCAATAGAAGGGACTCTGCAGGCAGGAAGCCTTACCTTTTCAGCCCTTCCCCAGTCACTCCATCTCTGCCCTCCAGCATCCCCAGTGCCAGGTTATAAGTGTTTGGAAATGATGGGATGGGGGCAAAAAAGAACTTTGCTTACATATCATGATTTTCAATCTATTTTTGATGTGCATAGCCCTGATCAAGAGCATGTGGCATCAGAAGCAATGTGATTGGCAGGAGGAATAGCTGCTTACAAAGAAGCCGTGTCAGGGGTAGAGGACCTAAAAAAATGCAGTGCAAGTGAGACCAGTAAGGTCACCACTGTCATTCTACTTTCAGAATGAGCCAAGAGCCAGCCCAGTCCTCGGAGGAAATGTGGACAGCAGGCAAGGCTTTCTTAGGTAAGAGGCAGACCCCGCCATCATGTCAGTCTGTTCCTCTAGACACATCTCTTTGCAGTTGTTGGCACTTGGTACAGGACTTCTATGGCTCAAAACGATGAAGGAATTCTCGTTTCCTTTCCCTAAGGAATTGGTAAAGTCAATTTACTGAAAATGAATGACGAGAGAACAGCAACCTCCTGGGTGGCATCAGTGTGGCCAGGCCATGTTTCAGCTGAGGAAGGTGCTCATCCCTAATTGCTGAGCTCCGGGCTCAGGAGGTTGTAGACTAGAGATACAGCCTGGCTTTACTGAAGCCTGGTTTCAGCTCTAGAGGGATCAGCCCCTTCTTTAGCACTGCTGGCTCCCATAGGGCTACTGGCCAGAGGAGGCCAGCATTTGACCAGCAGAATAGCTCTGTGAGCCCACACCTGAATTTAGAACATGGCCTGGGAGTCTGTGTCAGGCCTTGGCGAAGGAATTCAGGCCCAGGACAGGCTAGAAGGTATCAAATACCAAATGAGGCAAACCCGAAAGGCTGAGAGAGTGTTTGTGAAAACAACAACATGGCCTGGAATTTGCCAGTGAGGAAGAGAAATTGCCAACCAGGCTTCACATGTCCATGGAAGGACCTTCTCTCTCTCTGTCCCGTTAGTCCTTCCTCTCTTCCTTCTTTCCTCTTCCATAGAGCCCATTCACTAACAAGAGGACTGTCTAACAATAGCACTATTTCCAGTTGACAAAGAAAAGCCTGATCCTATGAGTTCTTTCATGGAGACAAACTTGGGTTTTGATTTAAAGCTAGTGTAAAAGAGGGAATGTTGCAGGAAGGTGACTTCAGAACCCCCTTGACTGGTACTGTGAGGTTAATACTAATCTTGTTGGCAGATCTTTACCTCTAAAATGAAACTCGCGCTTCTTGCCATTACAGGGCCACAGAACTATCTGGGGAGATGGATCTGGATTCACAAGCAAACTGACTTTCTCCTCGCTCTGCTGGAAACTGAGTGTGTGCAACTCCTCAGCTTTCTATAAGGAAAGAGGGGGGAGTCTGAGCTGGGGGACCAGTGGGTTCTGGACCACATGAGAACAGGTAGGGGTCCTGCTGTCTTGGCTGAGGATGAACACTGCCTCACTGGAGCTGATAGCTCTCTGTCCACACTAAATGTGACTGGTCAGCTTTTAGTGTGGAGCAACACATATGGATAGAGAACAGAAAGAAGACACATAACTTATATGTCACTAGGAATTCATGAACCAAAAATAAATTCTATTTCTATGTTATATTTACACAATTAGAAAACTCTAAAAATGAGATGGTGAAGTCATAAAAACTTTGTTTAAGCCCCACTGATGTAAGTGATCTCTGTGATTGTCATTCTCCATTCCCATGGATATTTAGAGCCAAATGTGGCTAATAAATAGAATAAACTGTGTATGCACAAAATTTAGATTAGAATACAGCATCACTGCCTGAAACCAATGAGAGGCATTCACACTGATCATTCCCAGACAGCCTTTGTGTTTGAGAACATGGCTAGAAGTTCCTGGACCCAGTGCCGAGGCAGAGCTGGAGCTGACAAGAAGTTCCTATACACATGTATTTTGCATAAATAAATGAAATAACAAGACATAAAAATGACTCAGATCCAGCAACTGTGAGGCAAGCCCACACGAGTCGAAACAGATGACTTTTGTTCATGTAGTTTCCATACCAGTTTCACATTAGTCAGTGATAAAAATACCATTTATATCCAGTGCTTGTAACACTTACGAAACCAGCATCTGTGAGTGTGTGTGGTTTTTTTGTTTGTTTGTTTGTTTTTCTTTCTTATTTCTTTTTTTTTTCTACAAGCAAATCAAGTTTCAATCTTAAAGAACAGTCCTTTGTTCTCCACCAGCCCAGAATATTATTTTGGCATGGTCATAAAAAACAAACAAAATTAACTACTATGCTAAATGTTTGCCTTTGTGCAAAATTAATTTACATACAATACAACACTAGCCATATAACGTTCTACCTATGCAGCACAATTTAAAAAAGCAAAACAAAACGAAAACGAACATACCAGTGAGAGCAGAAGCCAAAGAGGAGGGAGAAACATGAGGAGGAGTGGAGGAGGAGACAGAGAGTCCAAGCAATCAGTAAGACATAATAAATACTCATTTTGTTTTTGAAAAGTGACCTCCTCCTCCTCATATGAAATCAATGTACAAGAACAAAGTTCCAATCCCCAAATCAATATTAAGAACAAATATTCCTATCAGTACCTTAAACAGCTTCTGGAGAGCGCTCACAGCTAATGACACAGCCGGTCATCTCTTGGCTAGACCTAGTTATTGCCATTAGGTATGGCCTGGAGCACTCCTGAAATAAATATGAAGTTTTACTACTTTCTCTCAAGTGACAAAATGGCTCGAAAAATTTGATGGAGCTCTTCTTTGCCCTGATGCTCAGATTCTGGGCTGTCCTGTTCACTGACTTGCTCCCACTGAGGGGCTCTGGGTAAGGCTCCCTGTAAGCAACCAGGCCTGGGTTCAGGAAGGTTAAAGTTACAACATAGCAGAACTGCCTGTAGTTAGGAGATGGCAGAGGAAGCCTCAATACATCCAGCCCTGTGGCATGTCTCCAGAGCTCCCCTTGAGTGACAAGAGCAGATCACCCCACAAGCAGCCACTGAGAAATGAAGTCGCCAGAGGAGCTGGTGGGCTGTCCCAGAAGCCATCTGTCTACTAGCTAGCAGCACCCTCATACTTCCCCTCCCCGTGGTTTCCTTTTAGCCTTGTCTTTGTGTTGAGGCTTCTAACATCCTGGAAATTTTGCAAAGATCTCCATGGATGGAGCCGGGACCAGGTTGCTCAGTAAAGGGGACAGCATGCCAGCTCCACTGTAGACCCCTCGTGTGGCCCATGGCCCTCGGGCTTCAGAGTGGCTGCCAGAGGCTCCTTGACTGGCAGTGACCACTGCTGACCTTCACTGCTGAATGGAACTCAGGTCCTACTGTTCACTGAGAACCGAGTGAGGGAGAAACGGAGGTCACAGTGACTCACAGGGGCATACATGTCTCCATGTAAGACTCCTTGACCCAGATGCACAAGCCTGCAGCCAGATATACACTCATATTTAAGAACAACAATATTTACTAGAATCACTTCAGAAATGTTTCCAGGGCTCTGGGGACATGAGATTGCTATGTACATCTTTTGTATCCAGCAGGAAAAGTAGGTGAAAGGGCAAGGAGGGCAAAAAGAAAAATTATTAAATTAATGCCACCAATAATTTTTAAAATAAATAGTAAGTGGACCCTTGACATTCTGGAATGAATAAATTATTTAAGAGAACAATGTGTTAAGATTGAATGTCAGGGTGAAAGGCAAGGGGAGAATGGATGTAGTGAAAGGTGGTCTCAGGCAGGGGAGACCACCGTGTCGGTGTCTGGTGTGGTGATCACTCTGGTGCATGTCATCCCACACCACACACTGATGGCACGTCAAGAGGCAAACACAATTGGGGTCACGCACTGTGGCAGCCTTGCTCATTCCTTACAATATCTTGTCTCCAGATTCCTGAGTACTTCACCATTTTCTGGAAAAAAAAATGTGGTTTGCTATTTTATTTTAAGATGCCAAAGATTGTCTAAGACTTTGCAGTGTCTCCTGTAAGACTTTCAAAATAGTTAAGATTCAAAAGTTATGAAAAAGGTTTGGCACATTCAAAGTTGAATTCTACACATGGAAAAAAAATGGAATTCCGAGGCCTTTTGAACATGTTCTATACGTAGCCGCACATGCCGTGGACTTGTCCGGTTTCACAATATGAAATCCTCAGTTGTTTTCTAAAGTAATTCAGAATAAAAACACATTCACAACCTGTAGCCGGCACAGCATACCTGAGTGAGAATGTTTAACCCCATCTAAAACAGTAACTTAAACCCTTTGTCAACATCCCAAAGAAAAATAGTAAGACAGAAATGTAAGACTTGAAAGACAGCGATGGGCGGAGATAAGTTTCCAAGTCCCGGTGTCTCATATTTAATACGTCTTCACCTAAATAAACAACAACAGTAACGGTAACGACAAAAACTCAAGTTTATGAAAACTCAGGAAAACGTAATTTTCTGTCTCACACGTTACAAAGCGATTAAGACCACTCTGCTGATGTACGGTGGAGCCACAAATGCATGCGGGCTCTTTAAGAACTTGGTTGTTGTTGTTGGGGAAAGGGAGTGAAATGTCAGAGTGTTTTAATTCAGCAAACAAAAGCTCCTCAGTTGGCACTGACAGGCTCTGGGGCCTCATTTTCGCTGCTATAGTCTGATTTGGGATCATCTTCGTAGTCGTCATAGGCTTCCATTTCATCCGCTCCATTAATCATGTCGTTCCCAGCCAGGCTTGCGCCGTCCATCTTCATACCATACGTGCTCTGGATGACAGGGAGGCTGGGCTCTGGGCTGGCAGAGGTGCTAGAGCAGTCAGATGTCATCTGAGGTGATGGTGTGGTCGTTGCCATAGTAATAGCACCAGGATACACAACACCTGTTCCTGTGGTGATGGGAATCTGAGGCTGTTGCCTGTATAGATTTAGAAACAAAATGAAAGAGAGGGGAGATCTCTATAGGTTCTCACATGAGACCCAGGACTTCCTAACCCACCTTTTCCAAACCAAGCCCTCTGTAACATGTTAAGTGTCCAGAAGTGACAAAAACGTTCCTTGGAAGAATCCCTGGACTGTCCCTGATGCTGTGGCTGGTGGTTAAATAATACAACGCAGCAATTTGCTGACAGTTTCACAACATAAAGGCAGAACTTTCAACTTGGCAAATATCACTGAGCTCAGATCACACTTGGCATTGGGTTGGGCACAAATGCTGCAGTTAAGACCACAACGGTTCATGTGAGACCATTTTAAAAGAGACCAGAGAGCAGCTTTTATTTTTTTACTAGTCAAGAGGCATGGACATATTGTAATGATACTCTTAAGTGGGTTGGTGTCATCTTCAACTTGGTTTGAGAATTTGAGAACTACGGATGAAAGAGGAAAATGGGAAAAGATCTGGCAAGTGGAAAATCATCAGATCTGGCAAAGGCTTCATCCCCCTCTGTACTAATGTGTGCTTGTTGCTGTAGCTGGACTCGCCAGGCTAGGATCCTTCCAGGATAGTCATCTTAGACGTCACTGCTCCTGAGGCTGAGGATGGAGCTGGGGCTGGAGGACTTGGTAATAAAAAGTAGGGAGCTTTGCACCCTAATAATAAGATACACCAGGCATGATACTCCTGCTACATCCCAGAAGATGCCAAGTCAAGTCACACCAGATCACTTCTTCATACTGTGTTCCCAGTTCAAACAAACCAGCAGATCTCGTGAAGGCCGAGGTCTCCTTTGCAGGAAGAACTACCACTGTGTGTCTCCTTTCCCCCAGAACATAAGAATTAAAGCTCCACCCAGCTCAGACACTGTGTCTGAGGTGACCTTTTCAACTATGTAACATTTATCAAGTGGTCCTCAGTGGTTATGGGCAGCAGATTATAGTCAACACACACCTCAGGCTTCATCGTGATGGCTCTGGCAGAGCCTTGGTATTCATGTTTGTAAAAATGGGGTCAGAGTGTTCTAGAAGGTCCTCCCACCTGTTGTAATCAAGGCTTCTAGTCAATTGTCATTTGAGTAATTCTTATTGGCCTTCTACATCAGTAAGACTTTCTGCCCACCTCATTCTCAGGAAAGACATGCATACTTATGAAGCAGCTTTGTTGTAGGCTGGTCAGAGATACCTCAGAATGGTCTCATTTCCTCACAGAGGCCTCCAGCCCTGTTTGTAGAAGGAGAAAGGCCAAGATGCCTGGAGATGTGTGCTCACACTGCCTTTAGGGACCTTCAGTCACCACAGGACGTCCCCCTGATTCTTTAACCCTTTACTCACATAACACGTGTTTGTGTGATTATAACATGTAAATATAAATATATACATACAAAGACATAACAATGTTAACTGCATTAACAAACATAATCACCCCTTCATTCTTATTAGTCTTGAGATGACATAAGCTGAGGACTCAACAGTACCTAGCTGAGCTGGTACTGACACTGGATCTGAGATTAATCCAGTTCCGATGACTCCTTTGTTGAATCTGACCTCCTGAAGGAAGCAAGTGACAAGAGAAGCTACTGTATCTGTAGATACACCCCATGAAATCCTGCTCCTCTCAAATTCTAAAATCATATGCTTCTAAAAGTTGGGGTAAATTGGCACAAATTTAATTTCATGCTAACATTCTCAGGATTTACTGCATTACATCTATAACTGATTTTGGATAATTACAGTAGAATTATTTTTGCCTTAATTTACAAGTATTGATAGACCATTCTCCTGCAATATTGACCCATTTTACAGATTTCCTAATGTGACAGTTATTCTAAACTTCACAGACCAACAAAACTATCAAATGGTACATTTTCTTTAAATACAGAAAACATGTGCTTTTCATGAGAACAGAGGTTTGCTTTTTGAAATATTGTAATTAAAATATTTGTATGTTATGTATATCTATTACTTTTATGTCTTAAATAAATGTAAGTTGAGTCCAAAGCTTAGCTCTTGGTTCGGTAGAGCCCTCTCCTAAGCTAACTTTCTTCCCATTCCTGGGATTCTTCCCTGGTTCATTGATAAGCTCCCCTGCAGGCCTCAGCTCCACCTACCACCTTTCTAAAGGTTGCTTCACTAGTGGGTCTGGAGGTGGGGTCACTCCCTCCCTGCTCTGCCAGGCACTCAGATGGACTTGGGTGGAGGAAGTACACTGCCCTGCTTCTGCTCCTACATTGAAAATGTGTGCTTTGCACCGGTCTCTGGTACTGTCTAGACAGCATACGGCACATTCTCCCAGCCCACTCTTTCTCTCTCCTAGACAGTCTGTAGTACTTTCAACACTCATCAAATATCTGACTCCTCACTCTAAGATGACAGCCTGGCTTTTCATTTCACGTGGCAACTAGACACAACTAGAAGAGACTTTCTGCAAGCCCACCATCACATGGACTCACTTGTGTCTCTGAGCCCAGCCCTCTGCTTGCGTTGTGTGTGTTTAATGAGTTCAGAATCTGCTGTAGAGGCCTCTTGCTTGTCCACAGAACCCATTTTCCATGGCATACTACCTTTCCTCTCCTCTCTAGCTACTGCTCTACTTCTCTGACGTTCTAAAACAAAACTCAGGAAGGTTGTCTCTCTCCATTTCTTCCTCTCAGTTCTTCCTTAGACTCATTTCAATTACTCCTAATAATGACTCAGGAGGAGATCACCAATAATTTCCAACATACTAAATCCAAAGTCAGCTTGGTCCACATCCAATATGTGGCTTTAAATAGTAGCTATGTGCTGATAATACCAAAGTTTGTATCTCTAACAAGTATCTTCCTCCTAAACTCTCTCACTGCTCTCCCACAAACTCACACTAGTGTGTGCTTTCATTTGGATGCTAAAGACTATCTTAGTCTTACAGGTACAAAATCAAACTCCTAGTCACTCTGGATTTCCAGTCCTTAGTGGCCTTTCTGATCTTGGCTAGTGAGTACTTCTAATCTTTCCAGTTGCTCAAGCCAATCCTTTGTAAGAGTTCTTTCAATTACTGCAGTTAATCCATAAGCAAACCATGCTGGTTGTCCATCAGGGAAATCTCTAGAATCTATCTACTTCTTGGCTCCCCACTCTTCTACACCTGGTCCAACCACCATCAATTCAAGTGTGATTTATCCCAGGAGCCTCTTTCAAACAGGCCGTTCCTCCTCAGACAAGTTTCAACATAGTGACTCAGGTGATCCTCTCAAAGCCCAGCATCTTTTGTCTGGCTTTGTTTCCAATTCTTCAAAGCCTTTCCTCTGGGCCGAGTCAAACTCAACTTCCCAATGGCAAATATGGTCGTTCACAGTTTGGCTCTCTGTCATCTCTTTGACATTTCTAATTCTTCCTACCTCTTGCTCTGGCCTCTGTCTTCTCAAAGGAGCCAGCATAGCTATGTCTGCAGCCATTGTGGAGCGTCTCCTCTGCCTGCCACCCGAACAGCTCACTTCCTCACCCGCTCAGTTCTCATACTCTCAGGAAAATACTGGGGCTCCCCTAACCACTGGAGCAGCCTCCACAACACTCCACCACTGTCCCTCCCCTATTTACTTTCTCTGAAGGCATTTGTAGCTATTTTACACTTGTTTATTCATTGATTGTCTGACTTCTTCCACAACTAGAATGTAAGCTTTATAAAGATAAGATTCTTCACTAATATAGCTCCAGAGTCCAGACAATGCCTGACCACCAATGCCTGACCACAGAGCACACTCAGTAAATACCAGTTGATTACAATGAGTTAGTGGATGAGGGAACAGAGTAGAAAATGGGAGGGAAAAAATGGAAAAATATAAGTGACATATCAGACAAGAAAAGATGAGATTAGAAATCTGGGAGGGACAATGACAAAGAAAAGGTAAGGATGTGATAATCTTCAGAGGCTGAATGATTGTCCTCATAAACAGGAGACAAGCTGGAGGACCAGGACCAGCTTGCAAACCAACAGGCAGACTTGAGAGCAGTGAAGGAGAAATAACCTTCTGGTATTGGAGAGGTTTTCCAGAGGAAACAGCTCCCTTAGGAGGTGGCAAGTCAGCTCTCACAGAGCCTTAGTGGAGGTGCTAAGGACCACAAGGGTGGCGGGTGACAGGAGGCACAGAAGATCTAAGAGCCCTCGGAGGCTACACCAGATTGTGGGGATGAAGTCCACAGTTATACACCATTCTGGTTCTGTCTTCTTATTAAAGTGAGCACAGTCTCAGCTGAAGCATCGTGGCTCTCACTGTTGCTACAGCCAGCCTATCTTATCCTTTCATCACTACCTCCTTTGTATTTTTGAACATTTGACATTTTCTACCTCCCACATCCACCCCCTCCTTTATTCTTAGTTAGGAATCTACTTTCTACTAGTCAGACCTTCTCAAACTTCAAGTGCCTCCCTCCGAGGTACCTGTGGCTGGTCTGGTCTTGCAGCATAGCAAACTTCCTCCCTGGGCTTCTATGTGTCTAGATAAGCACTTCATCGTGCCATACTGTGAACACCATCTGTACTGTGGGTGGTGTACAAACCATTATCAGCTAACCCAGTGTGGTAGTTTGAATGCAATTGGCTCCCATAATCTCACAGGGAGTGGTACTATTAGGAGGTGTGGCTTTGTTAGAGTGGGTATGGCCTTTTGGAGGAAGCGTGTCACTGTGGGGGTGGGCTTTGAGGATTCCTATGCTCAGGATATAACCCAGTGTCACAGTTGACTTTCTGTTGCCTGCAAGATGTATCTCAGCTACCTCTCCAGTATCATGTCTGCCTGCATCCTGCCATACTCCCCACCATAATGATAATGGACTAAACCTCTGAAACTATAAGCAAACCCACTCGATGAAATGTTTTCTTTATAAGAGCTGCTATGGTCATGGTGTCTTTCACAGCAATAGGAACCCTAACTAAGACACCCAGTTGTGCATGTGTCTGTCTTATTTAACTACTGAATGCCCCGAAAACTCTTGTCTATAGGAACAATGCTTTGGTGATTTAGTACAGAACTGGGCATCTTGCTGGTTTCTAATAGGTTCTTAACAATTGACTGGTTGATCAATAAACAAACTGAAAAAAAAATCAGCCAGCAGCATCAAGGGTTGTCTATCAGGAATCACTTTCCTAGAAAGCACTTTTCCTTCCTTTACAGATCAATTTCAAAGTCAAAATTCAAACACTGCAGATTTCACAGACAGGAATAGCTGGCAGGCCTTGGGCTTTACAAATAATGAATGTGCACACCAAAACAGAAGCTGAAGATGTCTTGGAAGTATTTGCATGCAGGGACAGGAACAGAGTTGGTCAAGAACAGAGTAGTACCGGGGCTGGATAGAGATCAGCACCAAGACATGGTTTTTAAATCATAAGAGTAGTTCTGGAACAATCTGGCTTTGTCAAATATAAAAGGATTGCATGTTTATACTGGCGAACCCCTATGGCTTGCTCACCCTTAGACCCCATCAAGGTCTGTAAGTGGAGGCAGCAGGGTGAGGTGAGTTGCATGGTTCTCTGGCTGATGCTGTAGGAAGGGGTGGAGTATGAGCAATCTTCTTGCATGATCTACTGGTGGTTCTAAGCTGCTTCCTTACTGGACAGTCTGTGTCCTACAGGCTTCACTCGACTCCTTTAGATTTAACATCAAAATGGCAGGGTCCCAGATCACCTAGGGAATGATTATCTAGGAAAATAATACTTCTAATATAGTAGGAAATAAATGTCTGACACATAGATTTTTCTAACTGCGTGTTAGACAGTGTTCTTGGCACTTTCCATTTGCTAAGCCATTTCATCTTCTGAGGAATTCATGTTATTGGTGCCATGGTCATCCTTATTCTACACATAGAAAACTGATGGGCAGAGAGCTTAAGGAAGTATCCTAAGGGCAAATGGGGGCTTCTGAGGAAAAAAGATCCATACATGCCAGCACAGTGACAAAAACACAGTCCAGCATCGGAGCCTGAACAGGCTGGCTCTGGAGTCAATGCCTTCACTACTGTCCTACATGGGCTCTAATTGTGAGATGCACACAACATAAGGCAAACATACATTATACCCATAACAGCCTGACTTGAATCTCAGCAATGCGCCTGACTATGTGCTTTGTACAAGTGACGTCATGTCTGCCAACACAGCGCTTGTCAGTTCTCAAATAGTGATGGTGTTTATCTAATACATTTGATGTATTTTCAATAACCTACATTCTTCACTCAGCACAGCATATTGCACACTATGACTATTCAATACTTTTCCACCATTGCTGCTTAAAAAGATATCCCACTTGGATACTTGGCAGTATCTTTATAATTTCAGGGGTAAATTACTAAATGTGTTCCAAATGAAAAGCAGATTTAGCAATGATTCATGGGAAAAATATAACATTGTAGCTACATAGGCCTCAGCAAATATCAGGTCTATATTTATAGAATGCTCACAAAATCTTGGTACTTAATCTGCCATTTGAAGGAGTTAAATCTCAGGTAAGAGAATACTCTCTTACATATTATTGACAGAATTTTTTGGTAATAGCTAAGTTTTCTAACTCATCAGCTACAGTTGTATAGTCATTGAAATGTACAAAAATGTCAAGTAATGTATGTGGTATGACTGGCTGAAAGGGATGCATGTCCCTTCGAAATCAGCTATAAAAATCGATCTTGCCCCATCAAGATGTCAATAGTAATCTTTGAGTTTTTGTTTGTGTTGCTTTTTGCTCCTCTGGTTGTAACCTTACAGCTAATGAAGATCAATTTCCAAAGATGACCCTCGGGGAGTTACCACTCTATCAGGTCTAACTATTTAAAAGAAAACACAAATCTGTAATAAGTAGGGATACTACCTAGCTTTATGTAGCAGATATTCCTGGAACTGGGCAGAAGGAAGCAGTCAGCACTGGAGATTAAGAACAGGCCTGATGGTGGTGGCACATGCCTTTAGTCCCAGCACTCAGACAGCCAAGGCTACACAGAGAAACCCTATCTTAAAAAACAAACAAACAAAAACACACAAACAAAACAAAAACAAATCAAATAGAAAAAAGAAAAAAGCCCAAAACCAGAATGGATGTTCTGGTCATTGCCTGCCCTTTGGCAGCACCGTTTGCTCCAGAGAGTGAAGCCACCCTTCCTGTAACAGGTCTTCCTGCAAGGTCAGGAGCAGCCCAGCCCCTGCAGCTCCCCTCAGCACATCCCACAGTTGCGTACTGCACTGATTCCAGGGTCTATGAGTCCTTCACAAACTGCACAGCTATCCTCATGTCTGTTCCAGAAGAGTTTGTGAGGCACCTTGTGGGGAAACATGGTAAGGAGAGTTTCTTTGCTGTTTGGGATGACAGGTGAAGACCAGGATTGAGCTTTCCTGTCTTGTCACCATTGGGATGCATGGGGACAATCAAAACCTTAGCTTATGTATCTTATTTAAAGGATTATGGGTTGTGTGACTTGGGGATACAAAACACCTAGTGCCGTGTGGGTACCCAATAAACCAAAGATGTCACTAACTCATCTGAGTTTCAGGGAATTATCAGTTTATTATGTTTCAAAGAAACTACCAGTCTGTACCAGTATGTGTTGGGGCATTTGGATACAGACTCATTTTAAAGTATGCTGTAGCAATGACTAAGTTAAATATCACGGGTACAACTCATCTATTCAAGTAAGTATCAGGAAACAAACAGTACTTCTGATAACCCTTTAGATTGTGGTCAAAGAGACCCAGCAAGTATCACTCAATACACAGGGGCAGAAGAAGGCCAGAAATCACAAAAGCTCTCAAATTTAAACTTTTTCAAAGATAAACACAGTCTCATGGATGCAATACCAGGTTAAACACACAAGATGTTTATCATGCAGTCTTAAATCCATATTGTGTTAAAATGACTAGCCTACTGAAAGGGCACTATGAACCTGCATTTTTCATAAATTGTCTCATTATCATGTGAATGATCCAATTATATTGCATTGTACTTTCTGTGTTAAAAGCATTATTTTAAAAAGTGCAAACACTCACAGCACAGAGGTAGTTGATAAGCCTATTTTGTCACATCTTCATTTGTTAACATGTTGGAATCGTCAATTAATAAGGTGGGACAATTCTCTTTATCCCTAACGGGTCCATTTGCCAGAGTCTAGAGAAACTCATAGGTGAACTAGGGCGATATATGGTTTTGCTGGGATAGTGGATACCTAGTAAGTCCAAACACTGATACTGGGTTTGCAGCTACTCTCCTAAGTACTGTCTTCTACAAGTTCTTCCTTCTTGAATTGTCTCAATAGCCATGCAGGACGTCTGCAATCATTCCTCCCATTTCCCATGTGAGGAAATGGAAGCTGGGTAAAGGGAAGGCCCCTGCCTAAGTAGGTGACAGGGTCAGCATTTGTTGCTCAGTCATCCAACCCAGAAGCCCCGGTTCTCCCCAAGACTCTGGTGCACCACACATAGAAAGCTCTTTTACTGACTTCCCGGTTGTGCTCTGTTTGTTATTTGAATTCACTTCACCCTTTTAAACACATGCTTCTAAGACCAGCATGTCACATTGGGGTTTCCCCTGGAGCATCCTTAAACACAAAGAGTGCCCCGCTTCCCCATAAGGCCTCTCTCTCTGCACCTTTACTTGGCCAGGGCACAGCTACCCTTTCTCCTTTACATGTCCAGCTAATATGGCTTCCTTTCTGCTTCCTCCACTCCTCTTTCATCCCTCCCTGAGGATTCTCCCTCTGCCTGCAGCTGCAGCCTCTGTCTCCAGAGTGCCCCCCGCCCCCATAGGCTGCTAAGGTCTGTGTGCTGGAATCTCCAGGCATCTGCCCCACTTATCCTGACTACTGTGGTTAGGAGGGGCTGCTTTTGAATGCAGACAGCCCGTCAGCCAAGTCGAAATTTATACCAGAAATCTATTACCTAATTTTTAAACAAAATGACATGAAATCAGACTTGAAGATATCAAAAACATGCCCAGTTTCTGATTTAAGCAAGAAAATCCACATTGTTACTGCTTCCACCACAGAATAATTTACTGCAACAGGAGTTCTGGATATGATGCCAAAAATGAGGTCTTCTAACCACTGTCAAGGCCAATTATCTTGTGGTCGATCCCACAACAAAAGCAGACCATTGTGACTACAGTCAGAAGCACCACCAGAGAAGCCGGGAAGCTGTGGGGATTTCTAAGAGTCAGTTTTTACTTTTTCTCCCTGTGTGTCTGTCTAAATAAACTACCAAAATCTCTGTGTGTGGGCACTGGCTATATAGGGTGAGCACGGGAGACACGCAGAGTGGGGGCAGGAGACAAGCTGTAGGCTTGTGATGAGGCAGAGTCCCGTCGTTACCATGCCCTCCCTGTGCCACAACCCTCCCTTCACACTAATCTCTTTCCCAAACACACATGCCAGGAGCATCCTACGGTTCTTTCCTGGGAAGGGGAGGGTGGGGTTCCACTCAGGATCACGTACCCCACAGTGAAGAACTGTCGCATCTCCTGCCTCCGGGAGCGCATCAGTTGCTTGTACTCCCCAATC